CGGAGCGGGCTGGGGCCCTGACCTCTGTCACCCGAATTGTTTGGACTCAGAAGCCCCCATAGGGGTTAGGAGGGTGATCAATTGGCAACTTACGGAGTAAAGACCTCTCGCTCCCACCCCTCCCTCTGCGTATTGTGCTTGGAAGGGCAGCGGGGTCAGCGGCAGCAAACTGAAGGGCCGACCAGCGGAGCCTTGAAAGGGCTCGTTTTGTGTTTCGGTAATGAGCACTCTCCCCTTGGATGCACTCGGATTTCATGAGTTACAGGGAACCTGTCAACTGCTGTTTTCATTGTATGGGGCTCACGGGGAACTTGGATAGAGGGCAGGCCTGTTTCAAAGGAAGCAGGGGAAAGAAAGTGGTGAATAGATGCAATGTGCTGTCATATGCAGATCACGGCCCGGTTGCCATGGGACACCTCTGCCCGCCCAGAGGGCAAAATGCCGAAGGCCCTGTATTGACGAGGCTGCCTCCTTGGAGATGGGAATGCCACCGCTGAAAGGGCACAGCCAGAGCCACACTGCCATGGGCCCTGGGGTTCGCCATGGGGCTGGCCTGGATCCGCAGCCTCTGCCCCCACTGGCTGCTCAGCGGGAGCCCTCACCCAGGAGCTGCAGGCACAGACCGAGTTACCCTGGAAAAGGGAAAAGCGGTGGATAGAAAGGGCTTCTCTTTCAGAACCGCCAGGCCTCTGCTCAGAGGGCCACGGGGCCTGGTCTGGTCGGAAACTGGGCCCTGAGGCTAAAGACAGGTTTTCACCTTCTTTGTTTGCCGTGCCCTCTGAGAACACTTGGCAATAACATTCCTTTCCTGATGGTTCGTTTTGTAACTGACGGCATTGTTTTCTTTCCCCTGTTTACCTAAAGTGGCCCAGAGTTATAGGACAGGCCGTGCCAACAGTGGGAGGACTGAGCCTGCCCTGGTGGCCCTTGGCTCCCCAGACCAGGTCTCTCTCTACAGCTCCTTGTGCTGCATCCTTCCCTCCACCTCTGGGAACAGAGTAGCCCGAGGCTGTCCTGCTGGAGCAGAGGCTTCATGGAGCCTGAGGTTAGGGAGGACCCAGAATTAAGACTCGCCCCCAGGGTCCTTGGGCTGTGGGATCAAACCAGGCGGTGGGAAGCTAGTCCTGCCACTTTGCATAGGACAGGCCAGGGTAGCCAGGACCAGAAGCATGCAGAGGAGTCCGTGGAAGGAGCGAAAAACCAGGGGAAGGTGCTGAGAGAAATACATCTCCAACAGCTGTTTCCTGAATACCCTACTCTATTTAAAGGGGCAGAAGCATGGCTCTGTCATCTGGGAGTTTGTGTCTGGGGGCTGCGGCTAAGCTGGAGGTGGGGCCAGTGCGCTTGGCAACCTATTGTGACCTTCTGACCCTCTTGTTTTCACCCCCGTGCCCACTTTTACCACAGCAAAGTTTCTCCCTGGGAGTGTTGCCAAGATAAAGAATTAAGTCCAAAACCCTGTCCTCAAAGGGACTTCAAATCTAGTGAGAGAGTAACTTTTGCATATTTTGGACGTATCGTTTAAGACAGTGGTTCTCAACCTTGGCTGCACATTAGAATCACCTGGGAATCTTTTTAAAATCCTGATTTCTGGGCCTCATCCTCCAGAAATCAGGATTTTAAAAAGATTCCCAGGTGATTCTAATGTGCAGCCAAGGTTGAAAACCACTGGTTTAAGACATTAAGGGCAGTGACTAAGGGGAGAAGCTCTGGGTGTTCAGAGGCCACGGGCTGATGGCGAGAGAGTCACACACACAAATTCTCCTACTGCGTTCACCCTCCAGTTTGCACTCACATGTATGTCATTTCTTCTCCACTTCACACCACCCGCTGAGGTGCTTTGTAAGCCTGAAAGCTCTGTGAGAATGGAAGACATACTGACTCTCCAAGGAGGAGTCTCCAACATTGGCCAAGGTGAGAGGAGGGATGGTCAGGGAGCAGCAAGTTGCCCTAACTGGCTGGGGCACAGGACAGGCAACCTCGTGAACTATGGCTAGAGAACCAGGCTGAGGGCCCCACATGCTCCATCGCTGGGCTTGACCCCGTGGAACACAGAGAGAGTTTGGATGGTTAGTGGGTTTGTTTTCTGCTGCTGTAACACATTGCCACAAGTTCAGTGTCTTAAACACAAATGTATTTTCTTTCAGTGCTGGGGGTCAGAAGTCTGACCTGGGTCTCGCTGGGCTAAGATCAGGGTATTATCTGGACGCTCTAAGGGAGAATTCATTTCCTTCCCTTTTCTTGCTTCCAGCATCTGTACACACCCCTTGGCTCGTGGCCCTTCCTCCACCTGCAAAGCCATCAATGGAGGTTGAGTCCTGCTCACATCTCATCACTTTGATCTCCTCTTCTGCCTCCGTCTTCCATTTTTAAGGACCCTTATAATTACATTGGGCCCACCCCGACAGTCTAAGACAGTACACACGCCCATTTTAAGGCCAGCCAGCTAGCAGCCTTAATTCTCCTTTGCCTTGTAAGGTAACATAGTCATAGGTTACAGAGACAGGGGCATTCTTGTGGGGCCATTATGCTGCCTATTAGATTTGGTTAGTGGGTTAGTTGTTGGTCAGTTATTAGTTGTTTAGTTGGTTATTTGTTCTTTGGCTGTTTTTTGAGACACACCGTGAAGTCCTCACCTAAGAGCCAGATGATACAGTTTGTTAAAAGAAGGGGAAAGGAAGATTGAGCAGTCTCATGGGGACGAAGGAGTTGTTGGAGGCAGACAAAGGAAGTGAGCATTGATTTTATCTCACTGCCTATCAGAATAAACCCATAAAGCACAATCCCAAGAAAGCAGGCCATTCTGGAGAAGTTTGTTAGCCCACACACCCTGAGACCCTGGTGCATAGCTGGTTCAAACTTCATACAAACACTTGGTCTCAGATCCTTGGTTTCTGTCCTGTGTCCTCTGGTTTAGAAGCAGTGATATTTGTAATCCATTTTTGAATGTCTGGTCAACCTTTTGAAATAGTATCTCTAATCCAAATACACTAGTGGGTTCTGCTAAGTGTCTAGTTGTCCCCTGGAGCCTCTCAACCCCACAGTGGGTTTAAGTCCTTCTACCACATCAGTGCCAGCCCTGTCTATTGGGCTCTGCCCACTGCCTCCCGGACTCCACATCTTGCAGGCTGGACTGCTACCAGCTGCCCTGCCTCCTACCTTGTTGAAGTTGAAGCTTGCTCCTCAGGAAGTCCATCAAAACTCTTGAAATAAAATGTGGGCATTGGTCACTTGCTCTTGGGCCGGCCCTGCAGCTGGGCGGTGCCTCCGTTGGGCCGCTTGAAGAGGCCCTTCTTTATGCTCTGCCCAGGACCCTGCTCCTTACTTTCCAGTTTCCTTGCCAGGAGCTCCTGGCTTCCATGACAGACCTTTCATGACTGGCTTCCAAGACTCCAGTCTTGATACCCCTTTGCACCTATAGACCTTGACTTCACATCTCCAAACTGCCTGTGTTACACTAGCAGCAACATCAGCAGAATAATAATAGCTAATGTTTGAGCTCTTACTATGTGCCAGGCGCTGTGCATACATTACCTTGTTTAATCCTTATAACAACCCTAGGAAGAACCTAGGAAGAATGGGTACTAGTCCATTTTGCAGGTGAGGAAACAGCACGGAGACATTAAATCGCTTACTCAAGGTGACAGGCTGTATGTGATGAGGTCAGTATTCAAACCCAAGGCCGAGGGATGCCATCAAACCTCTCCTGAGTTCTTACTATCATCACCCCCTGCCCACTTCACCCCACTTACCAGCAGTCTGTGTGATCTGTGTATAGCAGATCATGTCCCCTTTCGGCTTACAACCCTCCAGTAGCTGCCATCTTACTTAGTAAAAGCCAGAGGCTGACAGTGGCCAGCAGACCCAGATCTAGTCCTGTTCCTGCTCTGCCCATCACCTCTTCACCGCTCTCCTCCTTGCCAGCCACACGGCCGTCCTTGCTGTTCCTCAAGGAAGCCAGGTACCCGCCTGCCTCAGTGCCCTTGCACTTACTAGTCCTCCCTATTGCTCTCCCCTCCCCATATCGTGGCTGGTTCCCTTCTCAAGGAGGTCTTTGCAGACACTTTACCTTTGCTGGCCTCCCTACCCAACCCCCTTACCCACCTTATTTTCTCCATAAAATTGTCACCTAATAACACATGAGAGATGTGTCTGTTGTTTATTCTGTCTGTCCCATGGAGAGCAAGGCTCCAGCATATTTCACTGGGAACAAAGCTTCAGCATGTACCTGTGGAATGAATGGATGAAGGCCAGGACTCCCTCAGACCCTAATGTTCCTGCGAGGCTCCAGCCACCATTCAGATCCCCAGTCCCAACCTAAGCCTGGCGTGGGCCACCAGGTAGAAGACCTTCCATTCAACTCACAGGTGAACATTTAGCTTCACCCTGGTGCTCAGTTTCCTCCACGCAGCCTGGTAAACACGAACACGCATCACATGTTTCTGGGCTAAAATCAATTCTCCATTCTCATTGACTCCGTGTGTGTGTGTGTGTGTGTGTGTGTGTGTGTGTGTCCTCACTCACCTGTTGAGGTTGAGGATGCAGGAAGCTTAAAACCCTTGCTCTAAGGCAGGTCTCTTGGCATCTTTTCCATGGCGCCTGGGGTTGAGAATGACTCTTACTTTGCAGGTAGAGACACTACAGCAGTGGGCTTGACTAGCCCTGAGGGATGCAGGGAAACATTCTCAGGGAGGGGCCAGGCCTTGGAACTTTAAAGCTTCTAAGGTAAGAGACATCCTTGCCTCTTGACAATTAGATCAGTATTGCTCCTCAGGACTCTGTTGTTGGATTGGCTGTGTTGGAGGCAAGATCTGGTTTGGATCTTGATTTGAGGCAGGAGAACAATGTAAGCAAAGGGTCAAAGGTGGGCCTGGACTGGGTGCTGGTTCTCGACTCAGAATCCGTGCTCTTTGCTGAGCTCATCGCTGCCTCAGCCCAGCAGACCCCAGCGGGCATGTTCTTCAAGAGCAAGAGAAAACATTTAACTTTCTTTTATTTAGAAACAAGCCTGGATAAAGGAGGAATAAACAGTGCCATTCTGCTTGCGGTTTGCTGAGATTCCCTGGAAAGTAAGTTTGGGAGGCCAGAGCCTGTGTTGGAACGTGAGAGCCCAATGCCCTCTCCAACACTCGGAGAAACAGAAGAAGCTCAAGAGGAATTATGGAGAGGAAAGCAGAACTTCCAGATTGGTTCCAAGTCTTTTCAGGCCTTGATCTAAAGGCCAAAGAGCCAACTCGATCTCCATGATGACTGCAACTCAAGAGGTGATACCAGGGGGCAAGGAGAGAGGGGGCAATGCTAGGTTAGCATGTTCCAGGTTCAAGGGGACCTGAGGAAGTGGCTGCCCCTCATGGGACAACTACAGCAAAGCCACTGGTCTCCCCTTGTCCTGTGGCCTTGTCCTCTGGAAATGGAGGCCCAGCCTTAACAAGGAAAAACCAAGAACGAATCCTCTCTCCTTTAGTCTAGATGCTTTTACAGTGAAATGCAAAATTTTTATTCTTGTTATTTTACTCCTTGTTCCTTTGATTTTTACTTAAAAGAATAAAAAATTGAATCCAGGGCTGGTCATGGCCATGGGGTCCTAAATCACAGGTCATGAGCCTAACTTCCTGCCTATTACCCTTCACACCTGCCTGACACTCCAGCCTGAAGCTTCTGTGCAGCTTCTGTCTACCTGGGACCTGGCTTAGCCCTCTGCCACCAGCCATTCAACCTGTGGTGAGACCCTGCTCCAGACCCGTTTCCTCTCAAAATGAAAAGATGAGGCTGGTCCCAGGGTACACTCCCCGTCCCCCCTTAAAGGGCACATGTCTGGTGGCACCTCCTTGGTCTCCTGCAGCTGAGAGCAGCTCTTTGCTGGTACAGTGACCAGCTGAGGCATCTGCCCCACCCTTCTGGCTCTGTGCTGTGGACTGTCTTGCTTTGCCTTCTTGTTGCACTTGGGGATGAGAATGTTCTTGCTGAAGGTCAGGTTCTTCCAAGGTGTGTTTCTCTCAGCAAGGGAGCTGTCCCCACTTCATGACACTCAATCTCCTCCTTGTTTTACCTCCAATGTAGCCATTTCTGGAAGCTGGATTGTCTGAGCGGGATAATGTGTTGTCCTTGCTTTTTAAATCTGTCCTCCCAATCTTGGTCTGAATAGGCCTGGATGTAGACAGATGAGTCCACAGTCATGAGTGATAATTACTAACAGTTACCAATTATTCATCATTTGCTGTTTGCAGGCACAGTGCTAGGCTCCTTATTGATAGCCTGGCTCAGTCACTTGCCCAATTTGAATAGAGCCCACTCTAGGAGCCACTACATAGAGAGGTTCCTCTCTGTCTCTCATTTCATCTGCCTAGATCAGTGATGGCGAACCTTTTGAGCTCGGCGTGTCAGCATTTTGAAAAATCCTAACTTAACTCTGGTACCATGTCACATATAGAAATTTTTTGATATTTGCAACCATAGTAAAACAAAGACTTATATTTTTGATATTTATTTTATATATTTAAATGCCATTTAACAAAGAAAAATCAACCAAAAAAAATGAGTTCGCGTGTCACCTCTGACACGCGTGTCATAGGTTCGCCATCACTGGCCTAGATTCTTCCCTACAGCACCCACCCACCCAAGCATAGCCAGCCTCTTAACTCTACTTCCTTAGACATTGCTGGGCCCACACCTCTGGTTCACAAGGCCCCAGAGCCCATTACCAGCCCATGATCATCTCCACCCAAGATCTACCTATATAGCCTGGCTTTCGTGCCCTCAGAGGGTCTCCCATTGTATGTGCATTAAGTCTCACTGCCTGCTCTGCTAGGTGGAAACTTGGTTGTAAGTACACCAAGATCTGCCCATCTCCCTGAACTCCTCCTCCAGGTTCAGTAGAACAGGTGTAGAATCCATCTTAGATGCATCACTCACTCCCAAGACTATTCATGATTTAGAAAACCTATACCCAAAAAGACTCAGCCCTTGTTGTGGGTGACCTGACTGGCCATGGAGCGCTGAGTGGCAGAGAAGGACCTCAGGGACCTTTTTCTTCTCTATCTTTATTTACTCCCTACATGATCTCATGCTGTCTCATAGCTTTATATGACACCCATCAGCTAGCAGCTCCCAAATTGAATCTCTGGCCTGGACCTCTCCCTTAAATTCCAGAACTACATAGCTAACTGCCTCCTTGACATCTCCACTGGGATATCTATTGGGCATGTTCAGGTTAACATTTCCAGAATCAAACTCCTTGTTCTCCTCCCAACATGCTCCTCTCTCCGTCTCCCAATATCTGTAAAGAGTAATTCCATCCTCCCAATTGTTCAGGCAAAAGATGTGGAGCCATCCTTGCCTCCTCTGGGAATTTCACACCACATATCTAAGCCATCAGAAAATTCTGTTGGCAGTTCCTTAAAAATAACCCCCAATAACCTCTTATCACCTTGATTTCTGCTTCACTGCTCAAAGCTGCCATCATCTCCTGCCTAGATAATTTCAAAAGCCATCACCTGGTCTCTAACCCCCCCCCACCCCACCACTCCCCGATGCCCGCCGCCGAGTGGAAGCATCTTGAATCTTTTCGATACTCTGCTGCCAGAA